CTCCTCCTCCTCCTCCTCCTCCTCCTCCCACGAGAAGCATGACGCTTTCCAAAGAAGCTTCTTGTCCACGTTCAAGTCGGTGCGCCAAGAGAGAGGTAGGGGGAGAAGAAGGCCTCCTCCTCCGTTCGTCCGCCACGAGCACACCAACTTATAGCACCTTGCACTCACCATGGTCCCGCGATATAGCATCTGTCATCCGAGAGGGTCCCGCGAGCACACGAAGATATAGCACGCCACTTCACATGGTCCCTCATTTGCGTTCGACGCTGACGCCGAATCCCCAGACGGTGTCCCACAAATGCTGCCAAGAGGCCCCCGAGAGGCCTTCCAAGAGACCCCAAGAAGCCATCCACAGAGGCGTCTTGTCTCCGACCCAATTTGGACCCCAGTGCCCCAGGAAGCCGTCGAGAAGTCTCCTCCTCCTCCTCCTCTTCCTCCTCCGCCTCCTCCTCCTCCTCCCTCCTCCATCTTCCCTCCGCCTCCTCCTCCTCCTCCTCCTCCTCCTCCTCCTCCTCCTCCTCCTCCTCCTCCTTCTCCTCCTCCTCCTCCTCCTCCTCCTCCCCTCTCGATCCCCCCATCCTCCTTCTCGCCCGCCATGGGCACACTAGCAGCACTGGTGCAATATGGGCCGGCAGAATGAGCGCAGCGATTCAATGACTGGTCGGGAGCGCCGCCTGTGGAGATAACGCATCGCCGAGATCTCAGGGGCAGGAGAGCCCAGAATCGAATCGATGAGTCGGATCGGCGATCAACATGGATTGGATGGGATCAGGAGCAGGAGAGCCCAGACATGATCGCGTCGTAAAAAAATCGGGACGGGAGGTTTTTTGCCACTTTCGGCCTCAGGGGGCCCTCTCCGGGCCCCAGGAAAGTCAAAAGACGACTCAGGATGAAAAACCGGTCCTGGGGGAGAGGGTCTGGACTTCCGGGGACGCCGCCCTGAAAAAATCAGGACGTTGCATGTCTGGGTCGGATCTGCGGAACTCGGCAGCCAGGTCGTGAGAAGTCGAATCGGCAGAAATCGGCAGGCCAACAGCTAGCAAGGCCACCGTTGCGAGACCGAGATCCAAATTTGGAGCCCGGAGTCGGGATCGATCGAGATCGAATCGAATCGAGCTGGAGAGGTCGAAACGACCCCTGCATGGGGCGAGCCCGATCGGCTTCGCCCTCCCGGCGGGCTCATGGCGCGGAACTCGGCCCGCAACGCCTCAGGACCCAGACCCCCGACGTCACCTCCCCGCGCCAAGAGGGCGCGCACGACGGAGGACTACGCTACATGGTGGCGCGACAACCTAGAGGACAGCCAGTGGGGCCCCAGGTACTGGAGCTACTACATCAAATGCTGGATATACATCATGGTGTCTCATAACGTCGACCCCCAACCCAAAGATCCAACGTATTGAAAAAATCAAGACGGAGGTTGTCCGCTGTTTTCGGCCCCTGGGGGCCCTCGCCGGGCCGCAGGACCGCCAAACATCGACTCGGGATGAAAAACCGGCCCCGGGGAAAAAATCAGGGCGTCGCATGTCTGGGTCAGAACGTCGACCCCCAATGCTCTCGACCCATTCCCTGGGACCGGTTTTTCATCCCGAGCCATTTGCTGACGGCCCCGAGGCCGGGTATAGGGCCCCCGGAGGCCGACGATATAGGAAGAAGCCTCCCGCCGCGACGTGTTCCCGGCTCGAGGGGGGGTCTGGGGCACTCGGCTTAGGTCAGGCATGTCCCCATACAGGCGGATCGTGAACGATATATACATATATATATATACACATATACATATACACATACATATATATATATATATATATATGTATATATATATATATATATGTATCTACATATATATATATATATATATCCAACAATAGCCCAAAACAGTCCAAAACTCGTCCCCTGATTATTCGTTTGCCTATGTTTGGATATCCCTCCCGTAGAGGGACGCGCCCGACATAAGGCTCGATAGGGGGTCTGGGGCGCCCTGCCCGCAGCGCCTCGTGCGTGAGGCCGTCGCTGGTCAGGATCAGCCGGCGCGCGGCCGCGGCGGGGCAGCTGCCGGGCGCGGCCTCGCCGAACGCAGCCCCGCAGGGCAGGGGCAGGAAGACGAGCAGCAGGCCGGACACCACGCAGGCCGCCACCAGCGAGAGCGCGAGCCTGTGGGGTGACCCAGGAGGGGGTCCAGCTGCAAGGGGGGTGGTGCAACAGAGTTGGGGCAATGGTATTGCACATGTACTGCGCCGGAGAATATTGTATTGCATTGTGTTGCAACTAGTGCTTTGCACGCGGAAATCCAGCAGTACATGTGCGCCCCAGAATGTATTGCACGCCCCAAATGTAATGCAACCCCACAAATCTATTGCACCAAATCTATTGCACCACCCCCTTGTCGCTGCTCCCCTGTTTGGGTCAACCCGAGAGCCGAACGGGCGGGCCCAGGCGGCCCGGGGCCCTGCCGACCCAGGCATGCTATAGGAAGGGCGGGCACCATTCGAGGTCCTAGGTTAGTTCGGAAGGCTTTTCGCCTTGTTCGGTCTCGGCCGCTTCCAGGCCCCTGCAGGACCGTGAGAAACGGATCCGAGGTGACAAAAATGTACCAGATGGGCCCCGGGAGGGATCCGGGGACCGATTTTGAACGGATTTGGCATCATCATCGCGTCGTGGAGGAATCACAAAAGGGAACTTGTTTTTCACTACGTTCGGCCTCTGAGGGCCTCGCTGGGCCTCGGAGCAGTGAAAAATTGCTCTGGATGGAAAACCTTCACTGGGCGATGGGTCGGGACACGGCGTTGCAAAAGTCAGGACACCGCACGCCTGGGGAACAGACTCTAAAAGGGCGCCCCAGGCAGGCGACGTCTTGATGTCTGTCCACGCGCGGTCCCTAGAATAGCCCCGACCCTGGCCCCCAGAGCTCGAATGGGGGATCGACTACATCACTGAGTTACCCTAAAACTGATGTACTCGTCGAGTCCACTGAAGATGCGTGGGACGTTCGTAGATCTACGAACGTTATACGCATTTGAGCCACGATCGAACATATGTCTTACGCGAGATGGCATAGCGACCTTACGCGGCGGCTTGCGCGGGCGGCCAGCGCGGCACGCCACATGGAAGGCGCGGGCAGCTGCCGCGCGAATGTCAGCGCGGTCGACCCCGTCTTCTTTCACCGCCCATCTGCATCAAAATCGGACGTGAGAATTAATTCCGAGGCAAATCAATTCTGCAGTCGCTTCCCTGCTCGAATGCGAGGCGGGGGGTTATCCATATTCACCGCCTGGGAACCGACGTCCTGGTGCCCCAACGGGCGGTGGATATGGATATATGTCGACCCTCGAGGGCCCGAATACGTCCATATCCAACGCCTGCCGAGGCTCCGAAAACTGACCCTCCGGGCGGTGGACATTGACAAATTCCCGCCTCGGATCGAGGGGCCGGCGCGTCGTCCAGCGGTCGGGCCCCGTGACGGCCATCGGCGGGGACCCGGCGAGAGGGGCCCATCCTCGGAGGCCGAGCGCGGCAGAAGAGCCTCGCGCCGTGTGCTCGCAGCAGGGGCCCGACCACAAGAGGCCTGCCACAAGAGGCCCGACCACAAGAGACGCCAGGACGTCCATGGATGTGCGTCGGGGAGGCGCAAGACTCGGGCACGGGGTCCTCGGGTTGGCCTGACGAGGCCGTCATGAACATGACGAGGCCCAATCTGCAATTTGACGCGGCCTCCCGCTGCAAACATCCCACGAACACTGGACCGTCAAAATCCAGGGCGCGATCGTCAAGAAATTTCGGCCAACCCGAGTTCCGGCTTGCTCGAGTCCTACGTTTCCCCGATTGTGGTGAGGGGACGTCACGCTTTCCATCGCAAAACAATCGAAGCCCAAGAAACCCAGGGCACCCTGGAGGCAAGCAGGCAGTTTCTTGGCACGGGCCCCCGCTGCAATGCTCTCACGACGAGGGCAGGCCCGGGCCCAGGGCGCCGCGCCGCACAGCGCGTGACCAGCGGCGGCGCGCGCGGCATGGCCCCCGGCAAGAGCAGGGGCCTCCGACCCAAACCCCTCGCGCTGCGAAAAAAATGCGACGGGAGGCTTCTCGGTATCTTCGGCCTCCAGGGGCCCTTCCCGGCCCTCGGGGCCGTCCAAAAAACGACGACTCGGGAGGAAAAAACGGTCCCAGGGAAGGGGTCGAAACCTCTGGGGGTCGACGCTGCAAAACAATCACAGCGTCGGGGGTCTGGGGAGGTGGGGTCTGAGCCGATGGGGTCGGAGGATTGCGCCGCATCGTCGACGCATCGCCGCGGTATCGCCGATGCATCGGCGATGCATCGGCAACGTCGGCGACGCATCCGCGACGTCTGCGTGGGGCCCGATGTGCTCCGACCCCATCTGGGAGGCCAAACGAGAGCCCCCCTCCTCCGCCTCCTGAGGCGCGGCTGGAGGCTGAAGGGGCGGGCGGGTACGTGCGCCGCCTCCTCCTCCTCCTCCTCCTCCTCCTCCTCCTCCTCCTCCTCCTCCTCCCAATCCTCCTCCCTTCTCCTCCTACCAATCCTCCTCCCTTCTCCTCCTCCTCCTCCTCCCTATCCTCCTCCCAGTCCTCCTCCCTTCTCCTCCTCCTCCCTATCCTCCTCCCAATCCTCCTCCCTTCTCCTCCTACTCCTCCTCCTCTCCTCCTCCCTCCTCCTCCTCCTCCTCCTCCTCCTCCTCCTCCTCCTCCTCCTCCTCCTCCTCCTCCTCCTCCTCCTCCTCCTCCTCTTCCTCCTGCCTGGGGGAGGGGGGGGGCCGCGGCGGCGCGGATGGCCTGCTTGGGCCTCGCCGCCTGGTGGCTGATCCTGCACCGCTCCAGGTCGAGGCGCGGAGCTCCGTCGTCGGACTCCTCCCGCGGGCCGCGGGCGGGCCCGATCGAGGTTGAGATAAGGGGAACGAAGCTGACTACCTACCAGACCACCCCAACCCAACCCGAAGGCCCGAATTTCGGGTTGGGGGGGGTAAGGGTTCCACGCGTGTTTTTTCGATGTTCCCCGACCCCCCCCCCACTGGAAATCGAGGATAAATCTGAGCCTTCGGGTTGGGTTGGGGTGGTTTGGTGGGTGGTGAGATAAGGGGAACGAAGCATGGCAGAGACATAAAAACTCGGAGGTCCGCGCGGAGTTCTCGGATCCGCGCTGGACCGATGGGGCGCGCTGGCCAGACGGCGGGGGCGGGCTGCGGGCAGGAGGGCCCATAGATCTAGGGGAGCGAAGAATGACAGAAACATTCAAACTCAGAGGTCAGCGCGGACCTCCGAGTTGCTATGTTGATGTCATTCTTCGTTCCCCTAGGGCACGCCGAGCCGAAGGACCAGAGCACGTCGATGCAGCTTGCCGTCAAGAACAGGTTTAGGTTTTGTCCCTTGAATGGGGCTCTTCTGAGAGAGATGAGACGGCTACAGCTTCGGATCCGTCCCGGGACCCCTCCTTGGGTCCAAGAGCACCAGTTTCCCGAGCTGCGTCAAGCCGTGGCGACGAGGGGGGCCCCAGGAGGCCGTTTGCCATTGCCTCAAATCGCCCGCCTCTGAGACTCCTGACTGTGTGCATGCAGAAGGGAGGGTACGGAAGCATTGCCCCAACACGCGCACGAGATGTCGGACCCTGCCCTCTGTAGGAGCCAACGACGTGGACATCGGCATCACCGCGAGGCGCCTGAGGGCCCTCCTCGTGGTGCAGGGCCAGCCAGCATCGCATCGGAAGATCGAATCGAGCTGGAGCTGCAATGTGCGTCGGACCTAGCTGCATCGGCGCGGAGTCGGAGGCGAATCGCGTCGAATCGTAGGAATACCGTAACCGAGTCGGATCGGGCTGGCCGAAGTCGATACCGAATCGCACCGATCGTGCGGGCATGGGCCCTGTGGTGTGGCCCGCCTGCACAAGTCTCCAGCCCGTGGCGACACCGTGGAGGGGCCTCCAGTATCCAGCCCGCCCGAGACACCTCGAGACAACTCTAGTCTTTATTGGCGGCGCGCAGAGGGGGGTAGGGGGAGGGGGGGCGGCCTCTTAGACGGCGGCTGCTTCTCGGAGAGCGTGGGCCTTGCATCTGCAGACAGGGTCCGCGCCTTCTGAGAGGCAGGGATGCTTCTAAGGAGCCTTCCCCCCTTCCCCCCTCCCCCATCACCCCCCCCTCTGCGCGTGGTCGACTCTGGCCCGCTCGCGCATGGTGCTCGAGACGCCTCCAGGCCCCCCAGGCCGGGGAGGCACCGTGGGGGGCCCCACTGCCGCAGGAGGCCCGCCGCCAGATAGTGCTATGGCGCCGCTGCTCACACAGCCGCCCCTGGGGGCGAGGGTCGGCTGCACGCAGGAGTGTGGGCGGCAAGCGAGGGGGGGGGGGAGTGAGAAGGAGAAGGCCTTCTCAGAAGGCGGCTGGACTTCTCAGAGGCCCTCGCGCCTTCTGAGAAGTGCTCTGTGTCTTCAGGGAAGGCTTGGAAGACTTCTCAGAAGGCCGGGGGACTTCCGAGCCTTCTGAGAAGGCCCTCCCTTCTCACTTACCCCCCTCGCTCGCCGCCGAGAGTGACCCTACAACCCTCCTCGAAATCTAACGCAAGTTTTTAGTGTTGGTCCAGTCGCGAAGCGCGGCCCAAGGAGCCTGATTTCTTGTGTTTGCTGTCGGCAATTTCGACGTGAACGTTGAATTTGTTGGGTCCTGGGGCGCCGCTAAAACGCGGGAAACAAAACTCGCGATTGATTTCGACGCGGCATGTAAGCAAGAATGACCCTTAGTGCGCGAATTAAGAGGGCACCAGGTAGCCAGATACAAGCGCGCAAGCAGCCGCGATCGTATCGCGCTGCTCAGCGATCGGGAGGGGCCCTGGTGAGCCCGCACCGACGGTCACTTGATCGAAGGGTCACTCTTACGTGTAGTCGAGCAGGGGGCAAAGGGTGATGCTGAAGTTTGTCCTCGACCCTCGGATATACCAGGGTCGGGGATTTGGAGCGATTCTGGCACTTCTTGTGCCTCGGGAGGCCTCAGGAGACCTCTGGGGGCCTCGGGGGGCCTCGAGGGTGTCGAGAGGATCTCTGGGTCCCAAATAGAAAAGCTTCGGCCCCGTAGTTCTCTGGAGTACCCAACCCAGATATGCGACGTCCTGATTTGTTCAGGACGGCGTCCCCGGAAGTCCAGACCCTTTCCCCGGGGCAAGTTATTCAGCCTGAGTCGTTATTTGATGGGCCCGAGGCCCAGCGAGGGCCACCTGAGGCCGAAATTGGCTAAAAACCTCTCGTTCCGACTTTTACGATGCGATCATGTCTGTGAAGACCTCATCTCCACACCTCCCCTTCTTGAACTCCTTCTCCGTCTACTCCTCCACGCCTCCTCCTCCTCCTGCAAGAGCTCTCGCTCCTGACGTAAACTTAATATCCAGAGCCTCCTCCGCCTCCACCTGATAGCCATTATCAGCCCATCCTGCTCTCTTCCTCCTTCTCCTCTTCTTCCTCCTCTACCTCCCATTCCTTCTCCTCATAAGTGAATCCTGCCTGTCGCACCTGGAGGCCGGTGGGAAGGGCGGGCCGGGCGCTTTCCCTGAGACTTCCGCGCCACTGATGATCCTGAAACTTAAAAATTAAAAAAACGGCTTCAGGGATAGAGGGTGGCCCGTGTTCAAAAGAAGGCTCTGGCCTGGGCGCCGCGCCCATTCGTTTCAAACAACTGCAAGAGCTTCACAGATGGAGGGCGGCACGCTTTCAACATGTGGCTCTCGGCTTAGCGCCGCGTGCACTCATCTTAAATATGTGCAAGAGCTTCACTGATGGAGGGCGGATCTATTTCAAAATGTGGCTCTCGCCTAGGAGCCGCGCACATTCCTCAAAAAAACTAAGTTGGCAGATTGAGGGCGACCCGTTTTCAAAATGTGACGCTCGCCTTAGCGGCGGGCGCATTCGTCCTCAAAACTTGCAAGAGCTTCACGGATGCAGGGCGGTTCGTTTCCAAAAGATGTCTCTCGCCGTAGCGCCGCGCACATCCACCTTCAAAATTTGAAACCAGTTTCGAGTGTTCCCATGGCTAACGTCCCAGAAGTGGTGCTCTGAAGAAATGTAGGACATGGGCACAACAGTTACGTTTGTGTGCGGCGTTGATGTCCCAGATTGGGTGTTCTGGCACGATTCAGGATCGTCAAGACGCAAAAATAAAGTTGATCCGTGGCATATAAGCCCCAACATTTGTGTTCGGTCTGGCACGGTTCAAACTTTTCACACAACTGTCTTCCATAAGGCACTTGCCGCAATAGAAATGAATCCGTGTAGGGGCCTATGAAGAGGGAGCTTGGAAGGAGGGTTGACTGCAACATCGCTGATGCTGAGGAAGGGCCTCCTCCTTCTCCTCCTCTTCCTCCTCCTCCTCACGCGCCTACTCGTTCTCCTCCTCATATTCCTCATGATCCTCCTCCCGCTCCTCCTCCCCCTCCTCCTCCTCCTCCTCCTCCTCCTCCCTGATGGCCGTCTCCCTCCCTTCCTCCCTTCTCCCTCAACCTCTCCGTTTTCCTGTTCTACGATCCCTCTCTTCCTGTAGGCCCTCTCCTTCATAAGAAATCCTCCTCGCCGCACCACCAGGTGCAGCGGCATTGCGGTCTGGGTGATTCGCGTGGGGCCTCGAACTACCTATGCCTTATGACCCTGATGTGTGGAGATTCGAGCCGTTACACGGATGGAGGGCGCATCGGTGTTAACATGTTGTGTCCAGATTTGGCAACACGCACATTCGTCTCAAGACCTCGCAGCAAATATGGATTGCGGCCGATTCTCCAAAACATGTATGCCACTGCAGCACCGAGCATACGCTGGCAACATCGGCACGGATAGGCTCGTGTTCTTCACCAAGGAACGCATCTTGAGATATCACCATGCTTGTATCCAGAACCTGAAGGTATCGCAACAACTGTACCGACTGAGGGCGGTCCATCATCCATGCTGGCATTTCGCGTTCCATTTCTTAGATATCACGCCCTGGATGCTTAACACTGCGCAACAACTAAACAGATGCAGGGCGATTCCGTTTCAAGCCAGGGGTCTCGCTGGAAACTTTCCGGCCCTATATCTAGATCGGGCATGTCTTCCTACAGGCGGATGTTGGAAGAAAACTAAAACATAGCAAAGACATATTCAAACATAGTCAAAGGTAGTCGAAACAGCGTCCCCTTCTATCAACCTTGTATAGAATATTCCTCCCGTGGAGGGACATGCCCGACTTAGCCCTCTCTCTTGGCAGCCACCTGCATGACAGTGACCTGGAACGCTCGTCTTTCAAGGGGCGCCTGCCTCCGTGACGAAGTCTCATACGGGTGAGTGACGTGGGTCTGAGACGCGAGGGTGCGTTGAGGCAGCGCTGAGAAATCATGAGCTTACCCTCGTCCTTCTCGTCGTCCACCTCCATCTGTCTCAACCTTCTACTCTTCCCCTCCTCCATCCTCCAGGCCACACATCTCCGCAACTGCGGGTTCATCGGACCCCTGCTTCCGGCCAGGGCGTTTCGCCGCGTGGGACGGGGAAGGGGGGAGGAACGCAGGGGCAGGCTGGAGGACTCTAGGAGGGCAAGGGAGGAGGAAGGGGGATTGACTTGCGCTTGGTCGGAGAAGCCTGTCCATCTGTCACCTGCAAAAGAAAGGTCGATGCTGTCGACCCTTGATTGGGATTTCCGACTCCTCTGGAGCCTGTTAGTACCCGGAAGAGGAGGACGACGGGGAGGAGGGGGAGGGGGAGGAGGACGAGGAGGAGGAGGAGGCGGAGGAGGAGGAAGAGGAGGAAGAGGAAGAGGAGGCAAAGGACAACGGGGAGGCGGAGAATGGCGGCAAGAGAGGGGCCGCCTTCCACTGCAGTTCCTTCACGACCCCGCGCTGGGTGCCTGGGCCAGCTGAGAAAAGGTTGGGTTGGGCCGTCGTCGTGGTCATCGTCACGGTCGTCGTCGTCGCCTGGGCGGGAGGGGGGAGGAGGGAAAGACGACGAAGGAGAGAAGACGAGGGGGTATATGGGGGAAGTCCTCCCCTACCTCCCCCCTCCCCTTCTATCTCGAAACGAATCGGTCGTCGGACCTGCCCCCTCCTGCTCCATTCCTTCTCCTTATAAATAACTCCTCCCTCTCGCACCCCGAGGCCAGTTTTTAGGGCGGGCCGGACGTTTCGCCTGAGACTTCCTCACCACGCATGACTCCGAAGCTTGAAAATGATAGCAGCTTCACAGATGGAGGGCGGGTGGTTTTCAAAATGTGGCTCTCGCCTTAGCGCCGCGCACATTCGTCAAAAGTTTCACGGATTGAAGGCGGCTCTTTTTCCAAATGTGGCACTCGCCTTAGCGCCGCGCACATTCGATTCCAACAGTTGCAAGAGTTTCACAGATCGAGGGCGGGTCGTTTTCAAAAGGTGGCTCTTGCTTCAGCGCCGTGCACATTCGCTTTCAAAGTGTGCAAGAAGCTCACGGTCGAGGGCGGGTCGTTTTCAACTTGCGGTTCTCGCTTAAACGCCGCACACATTCGATTTCAAAATTTGAAAGAGTTTCACGGACTCCCCTGATCAACGTACCAAAAACGGTGTTTGGAAGAATCATAATGATGCGGGGCAACAGATATGTTGGTTCGCGGTGTTGAAATCCAAGGAATGGTGTTATGGCGCGATTCCGGATCACCAAAACGCAGCAGTCAGGCTGATACGTGGCGTTGAAATCCCGAGAACAATGTTCTGGCATGCTTCAGGATCTTCGAACGGGTTGTCTTCCAACGAAGCAGTTCCCTCAATGGACATGAACCGTTGTAGGGGTCTATGAAGAGGGAGCTTGGAGGGACGGTTAATTCCAACATCGTTGATGACTCTTGGGTTTGCACTGGTCCTTATCCTCCTCCTACTCCTACTCCTACTCCTCGTCCTCGTCCTCCTCCTCCTCCTTATCTTTACCCTTATCCGTATCATTATCATTATCATTATCCCTATCCTTATCCTTATCCTCCTCCTCCTCTTCTGCCTCATCCCCTATCCTCCTCCTCGACAGGAGGAGGAGGAGGAGGAGGAGGAAAACGAGGAGGAAGAAGAACAAGAGCTCACTCGGAAAGGGGGAAAGACAAAGAAGTGAACCGAACCGACCACATTTTGTCAATCCTGGCAAGGTTTTCATCCAGCATCGATGCCCCACGGCCCCGATGCAAGAAAATCGGGCACCCAGATGCCAATGTGTTTGCTCCGCTGCGCAAGCCTGCCGCAGACTATCACACGTACCGCTGCCGGGGACAAGAGCTCTCCTGAGGGCCCACAATAATGGGGGAGCAGTTCGTGGAAGGGAAAGCATCGAGCTGAGCTCTCGGCAATACACCTCGCCGACAGAGCGGCGCTGAGCCCCCGGCAGCGCATCCGCACGTTCCTGGGCGGTGGGGGCTGTCGGGCCCCTGCTGGCGGTGCATGGGCGATTGGAGGAGGTCGACGCACCCCCCCCTGAGCCATTCCACACCATGTCGTTGGTTCCTGGCGGCACGCAGAGGGGGGTAGTGACTACCTACCAGACCACCCCAACCCAACCCGAAGACCCGAAATTCGGGTTGGGGGGGGTATGGGCTCCATACGTGTTATTTCGATGTTCCCGGACCCCCCCCAACTAGAAATCGAGGGTACATCTGAGCCTTCGGGTTGGGTTGGGGTCGTTTGGTGGGTGGTGAGGTAGGGGGAGGGGGGAAGGCTTTTTAGAAGGAGGGTGCTTCTTGGAAGATGTGGACCTTACACCTACAGACAAGGCCCGCGTCTTCTGAGAAGCAGGGTGTTTCGAAGAAGCCTTCTCCCCTCCCCCCGCCCCCCCTCTGCGCGTGGCCGAGGCTTTCGGGCCAAGAGCTCGGGTCTCTGGCGGCCGCTCGGGACGATCTGGGCAGCCCCGGCACGCCCTCGGCGGGGCGCGGGCGCTGGAAGGCGCCGCGAGCCGACGAGAAAGTCCGAAGAGCTCGAGCCTCCAAACCCGAACCCCCGAACCTTGCCCCTGAGCTTTATTAGGTCGGGCGTGTCCTCCTACAGGCGGAGCCTGGAAGAAGAGTGAGAGATAATACAACATATTCGAAAATAGTCAAAAATAGTCGACAGGTCGTCCCCAGACTATTTTTCACTATTTTTGAATATTCCTCCTGTAGAAGGACATGAGAGGCCTCCTAGATGGAGTCCGAGTAGATGGGGTCGGAGGATCGCGCCGCATCGCCAATGCATCGCCGATGCACCGGCGATGCATCGGCGATGTATTGCCGACTTCGGCGATGCATCGGCGGCGGCGGCGTGGGGAAATACGGGCTCCACATCGAGCCGCCTCGTCGATGTATCGGCGATGCGGCGCGATCCTCCAAACCCATCTACTCGGACCCCATCCAGGAGGCCTAGATCCTCTGGAGGGACATGCCCGATTTAACCCGAAGCTCTCCGAGGGGTGAGAACGTTGCCCTCCGCCCGGCGCACGCAGCCGCCGCAGCGCGCTGATCTTCTTCGTCGGGGAGGGGAACCGCTGGCGCTCGCCTCGCGGCCGTGGCCCTCTGTCTCTTGGAGAGAGTCGGGCGGGCACAGAGGTGGGGTAGGGGCAATGGTGGGGCAGGGGAGAGGCACAAAATAATTCAAAGATGTTCCCAAATAATCGAAAAGTCATCCCCATACTATATGTTGGGCATTTTTGATTATATTCCCCCTGTAGAGGGACATGCCCGACGCAAGGTTGGAGGGAAAATCGCTCGGGACGGCCCCTGGAAGGAGGAAACGCGTCAAAACCTGGAGCACCTGGCGGGGCCCGCTCCCCAGCCCCGCCTTGGGATAAAACCCTCCCTCCACTCGGGGGCGCGCAAACTTGGATTCGTGATCCATGGATTCGGCGCGCGGTCGCCAAACCCATGGACCGGGGGAGGTGTCCTCCCCAGAATGCGGCCAGTGCCGCCTCGCTCGGCGGCGGAAGTCCGCGACTCCCCATGGAAACGAAACCCGTCGCTGATCCATGCCCCCTCGATGCCCCGACATGCGACATCCTGGTTTTTTCAGGATGTTGTCCCCGGAAATTCAAACCTCTTCTCTGGAGCCGGCTTTTCATCCTGAGTCGTTTTCTGACGGCCCCGAGGCCCGGCGAGGGCCCCCCGAGGCCGAAAAAAATGGAAAACCTGGCGTCTCGACTTTTTACGACGCGAGCATGTCTGGGGACCCGTCGCTGATCCACGCCCCCTCGACCCCCGCTTGCGACCGCCTGACTCCACGAGCCCCCGGGAGAGGGCGGGAGGACCCGGGGCCGCGGGCCCGGCAGGCGGCAGGCGCCCTCGGGCGCCTCCTCCCCCGGCGGCCGCCCGCGGATGCTCCGGCGGCGCCAACATATGGTGGTGGTGGAAAACAGGCCCATCACAGGATGGAGCAGGAGTACGGAGGCCAACGAAAAAGCTTCCACGAACCCAGATCGAGACCGCGACCTGGGCTCGTCCTATGGAACATGTCTGCAGGCCCTCACTGGAAGCTCGAGATCGGCTGCGGCGGCCAGGACGGCACAGCAGCCGCCCGCGGTGTTGGCATGATGGCCCCCAACCAGCTTCCACACCGCTGCCTCGTCAAGCCCAACGCTCCATCCACTGCCACACATATCCCCCCCCTGTGGACAGCAGGCGGGACCGATCCCCACAGCAAGCAGCAGCCAGGAGCAGCCACGGAGCCCCCCCCCCCATCCGTTCTTAAACACGACCGGCTTGCAGTCGTCCCGCACGCTCTGGTGCATGACGGGACCTCGGCGGGTGGCTTGGACGGAACGTCACTCTTCCTCCTCATCCTCCTCGTCCTCCTCCTCCTCCTCCTCCTCGCCAACGCCTTGACCATGATGGCCTTTCACTTCCGAGTGCCCCCCTGCTCCTCTCCTGCCCACTCCTCCTGCTCAACCCTCTTTCCCCTCGACCTCCGCCTCGTCAACCTGCATATTCCTCTCGTCGTCGTCCTCGTCGTCGTCGTCGTCCTCCTCCTCCTCCTCCTCCTCCTCCTCCTCCTTGTCTCCTTGTCTTCCTCCCTCCCTCATCCCCAGCCTTACCAGCCACAGCGTCGGAGTGGCCGGGGAAAGCCTCCATCGGGCGGGAGGTGGGGGAATGCACCTTCGTCCACTCCACCCCTTCGCTCTTCGGCGACCGTCGGCTTGAAGCCCTCCTGCGCCGTCGTGATGGGTTCAATGTCTCGAACCAGTTCCTGCTCCGGTGGCCACTCACGGGAGCCTCCCATACCATCTTGTCGGCTCTTGCGAATGGACTATAGTCGACGCCAAACCGACGCTAGTCGACGCTACATAAACACTGATCGACGCTAGCCGACGCAACATCGGCGCTATCTCATCGACTCCCAGACGCTAATCGACGCTAGTCGACGCTAAAGACGGAATTAAGAGGGTATACCAGGCTCCCATGATTTGCTACCAGAAGCTCATGGGGCCTGGTTTTTCTCAGCGAGCGCTTCTAATGGCGCGAGGCTCCGACAACGCACCCGGGAGGAGGAACACTGCACAACTCAAATGCACTTTTCGACTTCGGCCCACATTCTGGATGTCTGGGCCTCTGGTCCTGTCCTTCTCCTCCTCCTCCTCCTCCTCCTGCCCCTGCTCTTGGTCCTCCTTCTCCCGCTGCTCCTACACCCTGCCCTCTCCTCCTCATCATCCTACTCCGACTCCTACTCCTCCTCCTCCTCCTCCTCCTCCTCCTCTTCCTCCTCTTCCTCCTCCTCCTTGACCTCCTCCTCCTCATCATCCTCCTCCTCCTCCTCCTCCTCCTCCCCTTTCTCTTCACATTCTCCTTCTCCCCCCCCCCTTGGATCCCACTCCCACTTTGCCTCCTCCTCCTCCTCCTCCTCCTCCGCTTCCACCTACTTCTCCTCCACATCAACATCCTCCTCCTCCCCCCTCCTCCTGTATGAGCGTGAACTGGGCGACGTCAGGCCTATCATCCCTGGGCAGGGGCCAGGGTCTAGGGGACGCACAGCCACACTGTATATTGGTGCATCTGAGGGCCGTTGCGAGGCAAAAGCGAGCTCAACGAAAGAGCAGAGAGAGCATGCCCAGCCACTCCAAAGCCGAAAACTGGCTGGCCGCGCGCACACGTCCGCTTGGGCGGCTCAAGTCTCACTACAGAGGCTGCCCACAAGGCCAACACGGGTGGTCTCTGGAATTCTGCCTGCAGGAGGGGTGCCGTCAGCAGCACCAGCTCGGAGACACCATGGGCCTGCGCCCGGGTCCAGCATAGACCAGCGCCGCAAAACTGCCGAAACGGCAGCCAACTCCCAAATCAACTCTTGGCCTGAGCTGGGGAGGAGGGAGCAGGTTAGTTTGTCAGTTCTGTGTCTCGTTGGACGTGTGTTCTGCAGAACCCATTGATTGCTGATATATTCGCCACTTTTGGGCGGCCACATGAGATCGTTATGCATGGTATGACTGCTGTTCCCAGGGAGGTTCCTCTACGTACGCCACTGTGTGGAATTGGAGGAGCGTGAGATGTTGATATCATTCGCAAGCTTGCGGGTCCCTCTTGGGAGGTCATTACAGGAAAATTATGGATCGGCAACAAGCGTTTGCGTTGCTACAACATGGCATGTGCATGTGCGTGACTGTTTCCGCTTGACTGAGATTGGCCGTGACGGAAATAAGAACGTATTTGTTGATGCACCACGCACGGTTGTTGCGCCGCCTTCTTCTGCAGAGCCGGACCAGGAAACCTGTGTGGGAGGTAAAAAGACAACAAGTACGTGTGTCATTTCGCCATTGAATGTACATGAGCATGGCAGAACTTGCTTGAAAGATCCCCGTGGGGAACAAATGGTGGCTCAAGGGGCGAACTGGGGGACAGCTAACATCGATTGCGTGGCATGTGAACGTTGAGGCTGAGTAGGTTGAAGACGCTGTACGGATTGATTGCGGGCCCGCTTCAGGCTTTGAGGATGACTTGGCTGAAAAAATATTGCGATGGTTGTTGCTGGGACCACCTCCCTGCTTTCTCTCAACAGCCATCGTCACTTCGAAAGCGTTCAAAGCGTGACGCGGTGAGACCCCGGCAAACGGGCATCGGCAACGCGGTTGCATTTGAAACCAATTGTTGCTCCTCACCAGGCGCGCGAAAGCTGGAGGAGGAGGAGGAGGAGGAGGAGGAGGAAAGACATGGGAAAATATTAGGCTGCGCGACAGACCCACCCCAGTGAGGCCCAGAGGCAGCAAGCCCAAACACTCAAGAAACCTCCCGAGTGCAGCTCCAGTCGGAGCGAAGCAAGCAAACAATCACAATGACGGATGGTGGGAAAACGGCGGCGGCGGCAGCGGCAGGGAGAGAAGAGGACGGACAGAAAAGAAACGAGCAAATCAAACCCCTCTGACGAAAATCGGAGCTGAACCTTTCGGGGGGGGGGGAGAAGACGAGACAGGAAGAGGAGGCGGAGAGCAAACCACTCCCAACAGGACTAACCGGCCCTCCCTGCTGGAGCGAAACAAAACAATTCTTAAACGAGCTGGGCACATACTTTGAGGCGCGAAGTGGACTGGTTGGTCTACAGAGCAACGGCAGATGTAGAACACGAGCACGGTACATTGAAGCTTCAGTATTGACAGGGCACTCACGAAAGGTCAACTGCGAGAGATGGCAACAGCAACTGTTGCCCAACTTGATGAAGCTATTTGCAAGGTGTTGCAAGCACTTAGGGTTCAAACAGTACTTGCTGGGAAGTATGGCAGCATCTTCGAGCTCAGGAGGAAGGGCATAGTGCATGTTGTTATGCAGCGCGCCATCGTAGAGAGTGCCTAACACAAAAAAGGATGCATCACACAAAAAGCTTGGGTGACAAGATAAATTATGTGTTGTGCCTCATACCGCAGATTGTCGCAAACATCACGACACGGATTTGGCGCGTCGCAATAGGGTCTACGTGCACCATGTTGTAACAAGTCATAAGAGCTCTGGCTGGCTCCGGTCGCCCCCCCGGGGGCCGCGGCTGTTGCCTTCCCGCGGCGTCACCCTTTCCCTATCTTCCCCTGCCCACCTTGGTCGGGGTCCTCGTCTTTGGCTTCCTGGGCTCCTTCTTAGTTCTCTCCCCTACCTTGTTCCCAGCGTGCCTTTGCCACCCTTGGGGTCGGGGACTGCTCTCGGAAAGCGAAGGGGCGCGAAATCTGCGTCCCCTCGGGAGCTCGGCTGCCCCGACACGCAAGACGCAACACGCAGCGCATTGCAACACGGAACTCAACACGCAGACTGAAAGCGTGGGTCTGACGCGATACGTGGAGCCCACATGGAGCGTATTGACATGGACGTTTTGAGCACGGCACGTGCTGATTGACCAAAAAAACCTGACCCTTTGGGATGGCTGGGAACATTAGGAATAGGAGGCCTTTCTGGAGGTGCATCGAATCAAACCGCCCAGAATTCTTGTCCCTGGTGCGAAGACGGGGACCTCAGCGGGGCAACGTCTTCATCGTGTCATTGGGATGACGGGCTCTCTCATCCTCCATGACGTGTTGCGTCTCAGAACGGGGGTATCGAGGCAGCTGAGCTCGGGAGGGCTCGCTCGGCCCAGTCCGTGGGGCCCGGCCAGCGGCCCCCCGGCGGTGCGCTGGCGCGTCGGGTGCCCTGGGGGCCCTCGCCACAGCGGGGCCACGGCAGGGGCCCTGAGCTGCTCCGGGGTGCGCCCGCAGGCTCGGCACGGGCCCCATGCGGACTGGAAGCCCGGCCCCGCATCCGTGTCGTGCGCAGGAGGGAGGCCCACGGCGAGGAGCGCCCTGCCAGACTCCCTGAGCGCCTTTGCCCTTGTGTACCTCCCCTTTTCTCTTCCCAGTCTCCTTCTCCCCCCCACCCCCCTTCCTCCCACTCCCACATTGCCTCCTCTTCTTCCTCCTCTTCCTCCTCCTCCTCGTCCTCCTCCTCCTCTTCCTCTTCATCATCTTCATCCTGTTCCTCGTCCTCATCCTCATCCTCATCCTCATCCTCATCCCTCCTCCTTCTCCTCGCCCCCAAAGCGCCAGCCGCGGCAACGGAAACGGTGTCCAGGGAGCCTACCGCCACGACGTCGGGGGCTGCGGAGGGTGCTCGTGGCGCAGGAAGGCGTCCCCAACCTTCCCGCGCCACTTTTGGAGCCCCTTGGTGCCCCCCTGGGCCTTGTGGTGAGGGGCAACAGCGCTAGGGATTCCACGGTGGAGGCTTGCGGATTTCGCACGTTTTCGTTGGTTCTCGGCGGGTTTCCAGCCTCGGGATGCTCTCCAGCAGCTGCGCCTCTCCCAGAGGCGTCTGGGGTGCTCGGATCTTCCCGAACGGCCGCTGGGAAAACCTCGACCTGGAATCGGCGATGCATCGCCGACAGATCGGCGATTGGGCGCCAAAAGCAAGTCTGCACGTTCCTGGGCGGGGCGGAGCTATCGGGCCCCTATCGGGGGCGAGTGGGCGATTGGGGGTCGATGCGTCCTGCCCTGAGCCCATCCCTGCTGACGTTGACCCTGATGTGGGGGGCACTCCGGAGGCCACCTCAGGAGCAGGGAGAACCAACCCCCACCGCCACCGCGGGGAGTCCTCTGGGGGGGTGTGGAAGGGGCTCGATGCGTACACCACGTCGCTTGGCCGGCAAAGGAGGCCCCAGCCGCCCAACCTGTGGGACGCTGGAGCGTCTGTGCACCAGACTCCTTCGCCGAGCCCCACGGCTCCCTGGCCGACCAGACGACGTCGTGTGCACGTCAAGCCTCAGATCTGGCCTGTCCTTCAAAAAGAATCAGAGAACAGTCTGGGGACGATGTTTGCATTACTGCTTCAAACCATCATTTTCGCATTCTTTGCATACTTGTCCTTCTTCGCCCCAGACCCGCCCGTGGGAGGACATGGCCGACCGAAGCCAAGGCCCCTCCAAGCGCGGTGCCCCTGCTTCGCGCCGCCCCGCTCTCGAGGCACCTGCTGCCTCCGGCTCGGGGGGTGGCCGCCCGCGGGCCCGGGGGAAAGCCTCGGCCGGGGCGGAGCCTGGCCGGGCGGAGCTCGGCCAGCTTGGCCGAGACTCGCCGGCCGAGCCCTGCCTGGGGGCGCACCGGAGGGGGCAGGGGGAGGGCCCCCTCCCGCGGACCCCCCATCCGTGCGTGGCCGATCAGCCTGGCCGAGCTTCCCCTGGCCGAGCTCGGCCTGGCCGAGCTTCCCCTGGCCGAGCGGAGCTGCTGCCCGTGACCTCCTCGCTGCCGGCGGCCCGCTGCCCGCCCATGGGGTGGTGCCGCTCCCCTCCGCTCCGGCACTCCTCGGGGCATCTCCTGGAAGAGCCAGGGCCTCCGTGTGCTCCTACCTCTGGCAGCCCCCGGCAAGTTTGCTTCAGGAGGGGAGGGCAGAAGAGAGGCTCGGAACACCAGGCTCTCCAGCTCAGTTCCCGGGGGGCAGAGAGGTACAGATACCGGTACTCCCTGGATCTCTCTTGAGGAGTTTTCCGACGAGAATGCCGCGGGGGACCGCGCCATGGCGACGAGGGAAGGGTGGCGGCATGGGCACCTCTTCCTCCTCGGAAGTCGGGAGTCGAAACAAGATCGGGGTCGGCCAAGAGGGAGGCGCCCAAGAGGGGGGGGGCGCAAATCATGGCCGGCGGCATGTGCGCGGCCCAGGGGGGGGAGCCAGGGACGTACTGAAATAAGAAGAGGCGCCATGAAATCTGCGGAGACATCATGACTCCCGCCGTGAGATCCACCCCTCCCTAGTCATCCCCCCCCTCTTGGCCGCCCCCGACAAGAGAGAGAGGCCCAGTTTCGCCACCAAGTCCCGGCACAGCGCGGAGAAGTGCTCGGTGTGAAAGCAAGAGGCCACTGGGGAAAGCCCAGGGCGCCACACTGGGACGAAAGCCCCCGAAGGCCCAGGCCGCCGAGCCACTGCCCGAGGTCTGGCTTTCTACTTGCGGTTCGGTGCGCCGCGGCGGAGGCCGAGAGAGGGAAGGAGAGAGGGAGGGAGAGGGTGAAGGAGAGGAACCAGCGCAGGGGAGGAGAGTGGCGAGGGGGACAGGAGGGATGGAAGGACGAGGAGGACGAAACGTTTGAGGGTAAACATGGCTGAAGGCAAAACAACAGCTTGACAACTGTTTCGGAAGTTATGCCATGGATTTACAGGGAGGCCCAGGGAGGTGCGAAGCGCGCAGCGCCAACCATAACGGCAGCAACAAATCTTTGTCGCACTGCCAGTGTTGTGCATTGCGAATGTGTTTGCAATGCAGTTTTGGTCTGCTTCGGGGGACCGCTGCTTCGCTGCTAGAGCTCGACCTTCTGACTATGATTCCGTGTGCCAGCCGAAGGTGGTTCGAGAGGAACCAGGCAGGTGCTAAGCGAGCAACGCCAACCACGACGAAGACGGCAAAACATGTGGTGTTTGCATAGCAGTTCCTTTTGCAATGCAAGTTTGACATGCTTCGGAATGCCGCTGTTTCGCAGTTAGAGATTGAGCTTATGATCGGGACTCCACGCGCAAGCCGGATGTGGTTTGAGAAGGCCCAGGCAGGTGCGCAGCGCGCAGCGCCAACCACGACGACGAAGACAGAGCAACGGATATGGGTGCAATGCAATGGTTGCTTGACTTGCAAAGTGTGTTTGCAATGCCATGGTGGTCTGCTTCGGAGTGCCGCTGTTTCGCTGCTGGAGCCTGAACTTGTGATTATGCGTCCGCGTGCGAGCCAAATGTGGTTTAAGGTCCAGGAAGGTGTGGAGCGCGCAGCGCCCAACCACGACGACGACAACGACACAGTTGGTTTTACAGCGCAGTTTGTTTTGCAATGCAATTTTGGTCTGCGGCGGAATGCCGCCGTTTCTCTGCTGGAGTTGGAACTGATAGCTCACGAATCATGGTTCCGTGCGCGAGTCGGATGTGGGTTGAGGAGGCCCAAAGAGGTGCGCAGCGCGATGCGCCAACCACGACGACCACAGCAGCATATGGTCTTGCATTGCAGTTGTCGCTGCATCGTACTTGTTCTGCGCAATGCAGTTTGGGCCTGGTTCCTGGCTGGTGTCTTCTTAGTATGGTCTGAAATTGGATGGTCTGGATGGTTGCCTGGTCTGGTTTGACTTGCTGGTCTTGCTGGTCTGCGCTGTTCAAGGCGTGTGCGTCGCATTTGTTGTCCCAACGCAATGTTCTGCGCAACGCACAGCGCAAAGCGCGCAAATGTATCATGTCTTGAGCGTCTGTCCATCATGTGCCACGCTGGCTGGTTAAACTTGCTCGTTTCGCTGATCTGCCCGAACTCTTTTCAGTTTGTGTGTGCACTGCCGTGTTATGCCACGCAGAGTTGGTTTGGTTGGGGTGGCTGTTTATGTTTGATGTGCTTAGTCTATGGCGGCTCTGCTTTGCCTCATCTGCTTTACTAATCTGGATGGCTTGCTGGTCCAGTTGGTATGCTTGATTTGGTCTGACTGGCCCGTTTGGCTAGCCGGTCTGGTTATCTACAACCCGCTGGATTGAAAAGTTGGGACGGCGGGGTTCGAGAGAGGAAGAGAAAAAGAGAGAGAGAGAGAGAGAGAGACGCTGTTGGCCACCCGTTAGGCCATGGGGCCCAGGACAATGTTGGATTCGATGCCGACTTGGGAGTTTCAGACGCATACCTCACCCCCTTTAATATTATAAAGGCCAAGTGGGGCCTGCGTCTGAAAGTGGCATTCCGCTTAGGACTTCCTTAAAAAAGTTTCAGATCGCCTTCCAGGGCGATCTGAAATTCTCCCATGCAGTCTGAAAGTGGCGATTTCGCCTGGGACTTCCTCACAAAAAGTTTCAGATCTATGTTCATGCCGCCTGAGAGTGGTCGTTTCGCTTAAGACGTCCTCAAACAGCACTTTCAGGTTGCCTTCCATGCCGCCAGAAGACAAAGATTTCGTGTGCGATGATTTCCATAACTTTGTGCTGCACCGCTCCACGTCCTGCGGAGCCGTTCCGTCATTCGGTTCACGGGCCTGCCTTGGAGTCATCTCGGGGTTCATCGATGGTGGAGGCTCGAGGGCCAGCCGACCGGCGAAACCCGCGGGGATCGCCCTCTCGCATAGTGCCGGTCACAATTTTTTAATCCAGAGGGTGGTAGTTGATCTACTTGAGTGGTTTGACTTGCTGGTCTGGATGGTCTGTCTGGCACACGTGTTTTGCATCGCAATGTGTTTACATTTGCAGTTACTTTGCACTGGAATGTCAGTCTGGCTGGTGTAGTCGGTCTGGTTGATCTCCTCGCCCTGGTGTGGGCTCAAGCGGCCTAGATGGCTGGCTGGTCTGCTTGATCTAGTTGGTCTGCTCCACCACGCAGCGCAGCACACAGCACACAGCGCGGATTGTTTGTTGCAGCGCACTGCGCTGCATTATCTCTCGATTGTCTCCCCGTCCTGTCCCACCCCTTTCTTCCCCGTCTGCTTGCTTTACCTTTACGCTGGCTTCGTCGGCTGGATGGTCGAATTCGTCTGGCTGGTCGTGGTCTTGTCAGGTCTGGCCTGGCTGGTCTAATCTGGTCTGGTCGGTTGGTCGAGCATTTCACATGGGTGGTCTGGTTCGTCTGGTCTGGTACGTCCGACAGGTTCGTTGGTCCAGCTCAGGTTGTTTGGTTGGTAGATTTCGTCAGGCTGGTCGTCGCACGGTTGGTGTGGGCTGGTTGCTCTAATATCTGGTTGGAATGATTGGTGGGTATGCCTGGTCTGGCGTGGTTGCTCCACTGGGTCTGGTTGGTCCGCTTGGTCTGGTTGGTCCAGTCGGCAGAGTTTTTTCGGATCCGATCTCGGCTTGTTGGTCTCACCGTTGCTGTCGCGCAGGTTCTTCCTCTGGTCTGGTCTGGCCTGTCTGGTCGAGTAGCTCATCTTGTTCGCCTGGCCTGGTCTGTTTGGTCTGGACTGGTTGGCTGGTTGGTCTGGGCTGGTTGGTCGATTATTTACCGTATCTGGTCTGCCAAGCCTGGTGACTTGGCTGGTCCAACTAGTTTGGCTGGTTTTGCCTTGTCTGCCTGCTGCGCAGGACTTCCACGAGGACGACGAGCGACAACAGGGGCAGCAGCAACGGCGAAAGCATGACCGGCTTCGGCTTCAATGCCCAGAGCAGAAATCCGAGGAGGATCACGGGGAGGAGGGCGGGGGAACTCTGCGTCAGCAGCCATGTCAGGCTTATGCCACACAGCGGGGCCTTAGAAAAGTTCGCTTCTAACGGCTTGAAGTACCCGAGCAAGCACAATCACGACACAAACACAAAACAAAACCAACAATGGCAGTCAGCCCAGAAATCTGCCTTCAACCAAAAGTTGTGCCTTAACAGACGTGCGCCACCAGTGATAAACACGTGCCCTGACAGACGTCTGCCTTCGAGGAGGAGGAGGAAGAAGAAGAGGAAGAGGAGGGAGCGGAGGAAGAAGAGGAGGGGGAGGAGGAGGAAGAGGAGGGGGAGGAGGAGGAAGAGGAGAGGGAGGAGGAGGAGGAGGAGGAGGATTGTGCTAGGATTGTACTACTTAGGACTTACGCATATTGAGAGCACCACGCAAGCCGCCTTCGCCGTGCAAGTTAGTATTTACAAGGGCTTCCCTGTGGATGGATGGCGGCCCCCCCACAAACGCGTCGGTCGACCCTTGGCCGTCCGAGCTCGGGCGGGCTTGCAGCCCTCCTTCACAAGGTTCGTCCACTTACACTGAGCGTAGGAAGCGCATCGCCTGCAGAATACAAAATTGGGGCGGAACACGAGGTGGTGTCCTAGCCCCTGTGCCTTAAGGATGCGTGCTTCTCGGGCTTCGAATTCGACAGATTCTGCGCCCGACGGCCCGCTCTGAGTCTGACTTGTGGCCCTGGGAGCGCGACGGTCCCTGGGGCCCACAGACGGGGAAGGGGGAGGCATCAGAGGAGGAGCAGGATTCGACTCGGCGGCCTGACTCGGGTCTGGTCCTCTGATGCTGCTCGGTTCGACATCGGTAATCGCATCGACGACTGCGGACGACATTGCGCCGAGCCTTACAGCAAATTCCAAGGCATCTGCTACCATGGTATACTTCTGCTGATATGCCTGACGCTGCCAGAAAGGGTGTGCACACAAATTAGCCCCCTTCTTCGCGTATTCATCCGCGAAGCGGTTGCCTTTGAACAGTCTCTCGCCAATCTCTCGCCGCTGGGCTCGAGTGGCGCGCGCCTGTATCTTTATTATCTGGATGGTCCTGGGGCCCAGCCCTCCGAGATCGTTCACCAGAAACCAAAACTCGCGCCAGAGATCACTGTGTGCCCTGGCAGATGATGAGCACCACTCCTCCCCTCTGGAAGTTCCGTCTACTACAGCCTGGCAGTCACAATAGATTTTGAGGGGCGGCATCGCGCTCCTCAGCACCTGAAGGATATCGCACAGCTCTGACGCGTATATCCCTTGCCGATTGCGTGGCAGGGGGAGGGGGCCGAATACAGAAAAAGCAAGGCTCTCCCCTGAGGCGTCAAGGGTGGCGAAGCCCCACCCCGCACGCCGAAAGGGAATAAACTCACCGTACAAGAGAGATCCGTCTGTGAAAACCTCTCCTGTGATGACACCTGGGCGTTCGCCCTCATGATGGACCTCGAACGAGACTGGCAGAACATCCAGGAGCTCAACAGGGTCCTCGGAGATACCTCTGGCCCAGAGGGGTTCGAAGCCTGGGAACGGGTTTGCTCCTCTATGCTGCACGTGCCTGCCGCCAACACGCCTGCGCATCACATCACGCGCGCTGCATACATACGTGCGGCGCAAGTCCGTACCTACAGCATTCAGACATGCCTGACACTGGTCGGTCGTCGCACGACCAGCCTTACATATTCTCTGTTGGGGCCACGTGCCTCCCGCAAACAAGGTTCGGGCCCGCGCGCGATGCTCCGCAGTCCACTTTTCAGACAGGGGCCTGCGGAGCAGCATTCTTCTCGGCTCCAGAAAGACATTCTTAGAGACATCCACCTCAGGACCCCAACGCGCAAGCAAGCCGTTCTGCAGCCCAGAATGTGTGGCCTGGCGCACGATGGGAGTGAAGGTGGTACAAATCTATATGTGCCAAATCGTGCACCTCGGTCCCGCATGCGACTGTTGCTGGACTCTGGGTGCTCCAACCAAGGCGAATTACTGTTGCAATGGACGCACCTGCTGGCCCTCTCACTAGGCCCCACGGCCTCGGATGCCCGTGGAGTCGCATGACCCACGAGCGCCAGCTCGCCACCAGGAGGCCCAGCGTGGCCATGTCCGTCGCCTCCTGCCACGCCCTGGCCCACTCCGCGATGGGCCCAGCGTTGGCGATCACGGCAGGGTCCGCGTCCTCCGCCAGCAGCGCCAGCGCGGCCGACCTCCCCTTGTTGCAGCCAGGGAAAGCCGCCGCCACAGTCCTCCTGAGCGTGGTGATCAGCGTGCCCGTGGCGCCCTGAACGCGTGTGCCGTAGAGCTCCGACGGCACGATCCCGAGCTTGACCACCCTCTCCACTGCGCCGCCTGCGGCCTTGACCCGCTGGATCTTCCAGCTCCTGGCCTTGGCCTTCATGATCCTCTTGGACTGGGCTCCGACACGTCGTCGCCGCGCAGCTGACTGGGTCACGCCCAAATGCGCACCACCTGAATGCCCATCTGCTTGTTCTGGCTGCCTAGCTGCCGCTCCACTCTGCCACGCGAGACCGCGACTACGGTCTTGCCGCCCCTGCCTCTCGAGACCTGCAGCTTGAGCACCTGCTCGAAGGCGAAGACGATCCCGTCGGTCAGCTTCATGTGGAGCGCCGCCACGGCGGCCACGTCGCCTCTGGTCGACGCCGCGAGGTCGTCGAAGTACAGGCACATGTCGGCCCTCGGGTTCGCGACATAGAGGTCGTCGATGGCGCCGATGAGAACAAGGGACAAACACAGCGGGCCGAACACGGATCATGCCACGATCCCTTGCGCCCAGAAATTGCCCTCGGTGTAGCACCCATTCAGCACAACTCTCCTCATCAATGAAAATACTCTCAACATGGCTCGCAAGGGCGTTGGGAATCCCCAGCGCAGGCCACCGCTCCAAAACAGGGAATGCAGCACCGTCTCGTAGCACTTCCTCAGGTCGTAGTATGTGGTGGCGATGGCCTCGCCTTGTGCCAACGATCCTTCAGCTAGGAGGCCCTGCATCCAGGCCGCTCGTTCGGCAGACCTGCCCTTCACGGCCCAATCCTATGCTCGTGGATTTTTGTTTTGCCATTTCTGGGTCTCGGGACGCCTGATCTTCTCCCATACTCGTACGAGCTCTGGTAGGAGCCCCAAATTCCTCATGCCGCCCTTGGGCTTGGGCTGAAGCCAGAAAATGATGCACTGCTGCGAGACGGGCCAATCAGATCCGCACTCGATGCAGTTCAGGATACTTGCCAGGCCTGCTAGGCCCACCGCTGGCCCTTGGGCCCACAGCCTGGGGTGGATGTTGGACTCGCCCAGGCCCGTCTTGGGGAAGAAAGCCTTGCAGGCGTGCAGCACGTGGTGGCCGAGGATAGGCGGTAGCATGGACTCGTCTACCGCAGGCGGCTCGAACCAGGGCGCTGTCCAGTCAACCTGATAACGCCATATGCTCTCCCACTCCTGCAACGCTGTGTTGGCGGCTGTCTGCGGGTCCATCATGGCGACGTGCTGGGACGTCTCACCCGCGGGGGCCGTCTCTGGAGGCTCACCGAGTCTGGGTGTTGCCTCTCTCGCGTTCTGTGGTACCAAGGGCTCCTACGGGACCTTCGGCTTGGTCCACTCGCGCAGGGCCCCCGCGGACTTCTCGCTGTGGTTGCGAACCCATGCCCGCCAGGACTTGGTGGATTCCTTGAGCTCGCTCTGCCTCGCCTCGCCCGCCTCGCTATCCGCAACCTGCTGTCAGTACTTGAGGTATTCCAGGCTCTCTGTCAGCTCCTGCGGCTCTTGCATGCATGCCAGGATGGTCTCGAGGACGTGGGACCACGGGGTCTTCAGCTCCTCGCCATACTGGTGGAGTTGTACGAGGGCCCACTTCTGGGTCATCGCCTCCTTGATGGACTTGATGTGGCCCGCATCCTGGCTGCCTGCCTCGCGCGAGTCGCTGCTGAGGATGTGGACCAGGTCCCGCAGGAGACTCGCCACCCATTATGTTGCCATAGTTCGCGCCGTCGGGGCTCCCTTGTCCCTGACCGCTGGGGGCGCTAGCTCTCGCATCTTGTAGACAGCCTTGGCGCCGTGCCCACTGTGGGCCAGCAGCCCATCGCCGTCAAAGCAGTGATATCTGTTCCAGTGCATCTCGTATGCATACATGAGATCGTGCCAGAACGCGTTCAGAGTCTCGTGGTCGACGTGCTCCCGAGGAGGAGGAGGAGGAGGAGGAGGAGGAGGAGGAGGAGGAGGAGGAGGAGGAGGAGGGGGAGGAGGAGGAGGAGGAGAGGAGGAGGAGGAGGAGGAGGAGGAGGGAGGAGGAGGGGAGGAGGAGGGAGGAGCATGGAGGGAGGAGGAGGAGGATTGGGAGGAGGAGGACGAGGAGGAGGAGGAGAAGGAAAAGGAGGAGGAGGATTGGGAGGAGGAGGAGGAGGAGGAGGAGGAGCCGACCGCAAAGGGGGGCAAATCAGTAACTCTTACGCGCGAGGAGGCGGCAGCCGCGGATGGAGCCGTTGTTCCAATGCGAGGGGGAGGAGGCGAGAAGCAAGCAACGGCAACAGCAAGTCCCGGGAGCGACGGAAAAAGGGGGGGCAGCACAGCAACACTAGGACCACATGAGGTGGGGTGGCAATCAAAGTGTCAGGAGTCGAGGGGGAAGAGCACCTGGGAGTCAACCTGGGAGACAACAGCAAGGATTGCGGAGGAGAGGCGGCCGCCGTTACTGGGGATTGCGGCGGGACATCTGCGCGTCAACCTTGGGGAAGAGCAGGGCAAAGCAGTCCTGTACTCGGGACGTGTCGAAGGAGGGGGCGACGGAGCAGAAGACGTAGCTGCCGAGCTCGAATCAGAGGACGAATAATAGTAAGAGGGTCTCATTCTCTCGGGAGCAAGCTGAGCTCGCTCGAGCGCCGAGAGGGCCGCGGCTCCGCCTGCTTCATTGATCGGACTCCAGCGAGGGCAGCGCCGCGAATCTCCAATAACGAAAGCGGCCACGAAGCCGAACGGCTGACAACATTGCAGGTAGCCTGATGAGCGGCAAGGTACACACAGGCCGCAATAAAAGGATTCACAGGAACACATGTTTCCATCACGTCACGCGGTACTCGGCGGGCCACAGCTACCTCCATCGCCCTGTGGAAGCATTAGCATCGAAGATAATGCGCGAGCCAGACACGCTGGCCCAGACACCCGAACGCACAGCATCGAACGCCCGCAGGGTGCAAGATGCGAGAGGACGTCAGCCACCCGTTGCACCAGGCCTTCAACGCGGCCCATGCCCATGAACACGGGCAGCCCTTCAGCGCAAGAAAGGTGGCGCCCCAATCGATCCTCTTAAGAACCTCAGAGCGAGGACCCGCGAACTTGAGAGCCTGCACACGATGCGGGACATGAGCAGCACGTTAAAGCCGAAGGTGGGCGCCAGCAGCCGGAGTCAAAGCCTCCGTCGCCACGGGAAGGGCACGAGCCAGTAAAGGGCCCCGCGGGCCAGGGGGGGTAGCGATATCGCCACGTCGAGATTCTCAACCATGGCTGCCGAGACACAGTGGGCAGAGCACGGCTTCTTCGCGCGCGGCATCATCAGCGAGCGACTCCCGGGATGGTCATCGGCATGTCGGCGGAGTGCGTCAAGCAACTGACGATGCTGAGGAAAGTCTTGGAGGGCGGCACGTAGCATGGAAGCGCAATTCAAGCGGGCCCAACGGACGGCGCGCGGACCATGCCGGATACCCAACTGCGACCAAGCACGGACAGCGAAAGCGCCAAGAGCCACTCGGATTACCTGCGCCAGCACTCCAGCCTTGAGACGCAGCACGGGCAGCGGCAACGAACAGAATTAGGCAATGTACGAGAGCGCGGTCACAATACGGGCATTGTAGAGCACTCAGGACACACTGGCAGGGGCGAGCCCTCACCCAACAACTCGAGCCCGAACGCGAAGCTTAGATGCAGGGTCTTTCCAGAGCCTCTCGGGGCCCACTCTAAGGTGAAGCCAAAAAAAAGTACAGGACCGAGTCCACGACCTCGAGCTCGGCCCACTCAGGAACCGTCTCCAGGGTAAGACTCCGAACGCGAGATTCCAGAGCGGGGCTGAAGGCTTCCGATAGAGGGGCCAACTTGCATTTGGAGGTCTTGATGAAGAGGTTGGCCAGCCTACCCGCCAAACCCATGACGTCGCGCACCTCGCTGAGGTCTTGGGCCCTGAGGAGCGCCCCAACCACGTCGCCAGCGCACGCCCTGATAACCCCCTTTACCCGAATCTTCGATTCTCCTGGACAGGTCAATCAGGAGCGCCGACGAGGCCAACGCAAACAAGGTGCCCGACAGGGCGCGCCCTTGGAGGATCCCACTGCGAACCCTATGGAGATGACTGCAGAGGCCACCTGACGCCGCCGCCCCGCGGATAGCCTGGCGCAGTAACTGGACAAAGGCCTGGAACTTCTGGGCGAGGCCGAGCACCTGGAGCACGCGCAAAAGGGAACTCCTGGTCAAGGGAGGGGAAGACCTGGCCGAAGTCGAGGGCGAAGAGGAGCGGGCTGTCAGGGGAGCCAGCGGGGACCAGGGACAGCACGCGGCTGGGCGCGTCCAGCTACAGGATGGCGAGCCCAAAGTTCCTCTTGGGAACGCAGCCCCTTTGGCGCCTGGGGGCCACTCGATCAAGGACGAATATCGGCGTTCATAGTGGTTGACATAATCTTAATATCGCAGTTGCGGAGGCCTGGCGAGCGAATCTTGTCCGCCGAACGAATGCACGAACTAGCTTGCTTCCATTATCATCAATGTTTTCGGGGGGGATGGCCCTGATCGTCGCACGAGCCGCGCCAGAGAGAGCCTGGCCCGAGGAGACCCATTCCAGGCGCGCCCACAAGACCACGATTCCTGAGACGTCTGCCCGCCAAGCTTCGCACGGGAGGCCGCATCAACCGGCAGCAGTACGCCGAGCCGACGCCGGTGCAGACTTCATGAGCTTGAACGACGGGGGGGTCGATCACCAGGTCACCAACGTCGGGGAGGAGGCCCCGCAAGTAGGGAAACGCACCGGCCTCGTCCCAGGGTTTCTTGGAGAACGCAGGGGCCCAGTGCCCGCCTAGAAGCTCGAGGACGATCGGCAGAGGGTTCGGCAGCTTGGCGGGAGACGGGGTCGAGGACAGCCGAAATGTAAACGCGACGATTGGCGGGGACCAAATCCTCTTACGACTCTCCAGTGACTTAGCCTGCGCACGGATCCGAGATGAGTCGCGCTCCAACTCGCGGCGGCGACGAAGCTACCCTCTGGCAGTGTCGGCAGCCTCGCACTGCACTCGGTCAGACCACGATAAGGAGGACTCATAATGGATCAACTTAGCAAGATCCCCATACAAACCAAGAAGTCTGACGCAATTGGGCGGGGCCCAATCAACCGCCAAGCCAACTCGACATGCTGCCTCCAGACAGCCCGAGCGATGGACCTCGCAAGCAGCAAAGGGTGATGGGGGGCGCCCACGAAACAGCTTATCCCTGGACTCTTGAGCTGCCACGCGCAAGAGCTTGTTATACCTTCCGAGACGACGAGGGGGAGAGGGAGAGACGGCGAAGCTCGGCGCACTCAACCGCGGCACGGAGAAGGCGTTTGAAAGAGGCATCGCGGAACAACCTCTGGTCGATTGGGCGATCTTGTTTCGGGCGAAGGCGACGAGGGGAGAGGGTAAAGACCACCGTGGCATGATTCGAGATGGCGCTGAGGCTGCTGACCCAGCCGTGGAGGACAGCGAGAAGAGCTGGCACAAGAACCACCCAGGCGCAGAGAGAGGAAGAGGCGGTCGATGCACGACTCTGAGTTGCTGGCCTCTTCGCAGAGCGATGGGGCGTCGCACTCCACCGCCACCAATGCGGCGAGAGCCCGCCGCCAGACCCGCGGGACGGGCGCGGTGCTGGCGGGCAGCGCGGGGCACCGCCGCACGCGGCACGCGCGAGACCACCACCTCCTCGGAGGCGAAGCTGAAGTCCCCGTTCACGATGAGCACCCGCTCGGTGGGGTCGCCATCCGCGAAAGACTTCACCGCGCGGGCGGCCTGCGCCAAGAGCGACACCTGGCGCACACTCAGCCCGTGATTGTGGACATTGAATATGTCGAGCTGGATGTCCCCCGCCTCCACGATGACATGAAATGCACGCCCAGGAACCAGCGGGACAGCGCGGCCGAGAACTACATGCCCACCCAGACGTCCAGCGCAGGAAGAACGATCGCGACCCTACCGCGGATCCTCAAATCAGGAGCGTCACAAGACGAAGAATGCATTATCACTCCATTCGAGATGCGATGGACAAATGCACTAAGCTGACAGGCATATTGACGCACCTCTTGCAAACAAAAGATGCTCGGGCCAGCCATCAGCTTCTCCAGATGTCTCCTCTTGAGGGCGGCCTTCGCACCAGCAACTTGAAGGAGTGCACGGGCATTCCATGTCACTGCGCGTAGCGAAGGAAGCACGTCGTCGCCGCCGAGGGAGGAGTAGCGGAAGAGGCGCCACAAGTCGTGGTTCGGCACTAGGGGCAACAATGCGCCGCGTAAGCTGCACCGGGTCGTTCTTGTCGAGATTGTGACTGCGGAGGCCCGCATCATCCCACATGAGCTGAGTCGGGCCTTCTCCTGGCTCGACGGTAACACGAAGTACTCTTTCCCACCCGATGGAGAGGACACCACGGCTGCGATCGCTGAAGAGGCGAAGCTGGGGGGGGAGCGGCAGCCGTGGCACACCTGCACCCACGGAGCACCACCTCCGTACGGATCTGGCGAGGGTTCTTGTCGGGGCCGAGGTGCATTCGAGCCTGCTCACCACCTGGTACCTTGACAGAGTATTCCCTCCAAACACCGTCCACACGAAGATTAGATAGAACACGCAACACTTGCCGAAGAGCCACTGCCACCAGCCCATGAAATTTGATGCGAACCGAGCTCCTGCAGCCACGGATCAAACGCCTCTGCGACAAGCTGTGCCGTGGTCGCGCTCTGCACCATGACCACCACGAGAGTGGAGTCACCATCTCGGCAAAACCACGACGGGACAGCTAAAGGGGCGCGGGGGCGGCGCCAGGCCAACTCCAAGTGGCCACGCAACTCCAGCATCTGGCGCTTGAGGTCGGCGAGGTCGTTCTCAGCGAAGTCGAGGCGGCCGCCGTGGTCGGCGATGAGTGCCGGCGTGAGTGTCGAACTGGGTCTGGAATCTGCGCGACACCTCGTCCACCTGCGCGCACAACTCCCACGATCTGCTGGTCCGTGCGAGCAGGCTGCCCAACAAGCTCAGCATGAAACTTGTCCACCAGCCCGAGGACCTTCTCACTAGACGACTGCACCGAGGCCAGCAGTGCAACCTTGACCGACTCATCGAGCTCATCCTTGACCTCATTGAGCATGGGGTGGAATATGTCCTTACAAACCTATCGCACATACTCGTCCGACATACATTCGTCATCGGGCGCTGCATCATCAGCATCGCCACCTTCAGCAGCAGCACGGTTGCGAGGAACCAAATTGCCATGAAAGGAAAAACCCTTGCCGCTCTTGCCCGAACCCGCAGCACCAGAGGGAGTAGGGAACGTCGGCGCCAGGTCGATATCTTCGCGGTCCTTCTCCGTGAAGATCCGCGACAGCCGAACCGCCCAGCCCAGGTAATGCACCGAGGGCCAGGTGTGGGAGGCCACAAGGCACGGGCAGTGAAGCTCCAGTGCCGCGAGACCTGCCCTCGCAAAAGGGACTCCGAGCCGTCCCCTCGGCAGCAAGCAAGCTTGAAGCGCCAGGGAAGCGTTTCGAACTTGAGCCAGGAGGAGGAGAAGGAGGAGGAGGACTGAGGAACAACAACTAAAGAAAAATAAGCGTTGGAGGTCCGAAGATCCGCGCTGGACCCCCTCTCGGGGGCGGCCAAGAGGGGGGCGTCCAAGAGGGGGTGGGCGCAAATCATGGCCGGCAGCATGTGCGCGGCCCAAGGGGGGACTCGGGACGTAACGGAATAAGAAGAGGCGCCATGAAATCCGAGGAAATATCATGGCCCACGCCATGATATCCACCCCCCCTTACTCATCACCCTCCTCTTGGCCGCCCCCGAATCTCTGGCGCGCGGAGCCAAGTAAGGGCGGCGCAGGAGGCGCCGTCAGGGGGGCTCCAGCGCCGATCACAAGAATCTGCGCGAGGCTTCGAAAATGTATGCTTATGCCGTTTTTGCAAGTCGAGAGGAGGAGAGGGGGGCGTCCCCCAAAGGTCCCGACCTCTTCCCTGGAACCGGCTCCCCATCCCGACGCGTATTTGTTTGACGGCCCCGAGGCCCTGCAAGGGCCCCCAGAGGCCGGAAACAGCACCCCCCCCCAGTCCTGATTCTTGTTGTTCGTGGGCCCGAGTTAGGGGAACAAGCCATGACATGGACACAACAACTCGGAGGTCCGAATCTTTATCCACATTCATGTCACCCTTCGCTCCCCGAGTCCCGCCCCCCCTCCTCTCCGGCGGGCCCACGCTGCCGGGACTCAGCCCTCCTGCGCCGCGGGCTCGGCGGCCGCGGGCCCCAGCTCCTCTCGGGTCGGGCGAAAGGGGGGGATAGCAAAGGGGGGGGTTGAGAATCAGCTCGCGTAGCTGATTTTCCCGGCGCCTCCCGGCGCCGGAGGCGGCCATGTATCGAGGAATGGGCCCAGCGGTGGGGCCGAAACCAGCTGCGTGTAGCAAATTTCGTAACCCCCCCTTTCCCAATCCCCCCCTTTCGCCCGGCCCGATCCTCCAGCGGAGCCCCCCGCGGAGCCTCCGGCGGCGGCTCCGGCGGCGGCGGGCGCCGCGCCGCGGCGGCGGCGGCCTCGGCGGCCTCGGCGGGCGGAGGCTCTCTGCTAATTACCGCTTATCGGCGAGACAGAGAAGGCCCGACCACAGGGAGCCTCCCACGAGAATCGGGTCGGGCGAAAGGGGGGGATAGCAAAGGGGGGGTTTGATTATCCCGGCAAAGCAACCTAACAGCGATGTGTAGAAGCATATCTGAAAGCATTCCCCTTAAGATTCAGATGAAAATCCAGTTGTAGAATTCTGCTGTTCTCGCAGTCGTAGTCGCATTCGCGATGACAGTCGCAGCGGCAACGGCAGTCGCAGTCACAGCCTCAGCCTCAGCCTGCCTCAGCCTCAGCCTCAGCCTGCCTCAGCCTCAGCCTGCCTCAGCCTCAGCCTCAGCCTGCTTCAGCCTCAGCCTCAGTCTGCCTTCAGCCTCGGCCTCAGCCTCAGCCTGCCTCAGCCTCAGCCTGCAGCCTCAGCCTCAGCCTCAGCCTCAGCCTGCCTCAGCCTCAGCCTCAGCCTCAGCCTCAGCCTCAGCCTCAGCCTCAGCCTGCCTCAGCCTCAGTCTGCTTCAGCCTCAGCCTCAGTCTGCCTTCAGCCTCGGCCTCAGCCTCAGCCTGCCTCAGCCCCAGCCTGCCTCGACCGCAGCATCAGCCTGCCTCAGCATTCAAAATGTGGCCCAGGAATGGAGTTCTGGGAAGTCGAAGAGCACGAAGTGGCCTACAGTTGGCTCCGGGCATTCAAAATGTGGCCCGGGAATGGAGTTCTGGGAACTCGAAGAGCACGAAGTGGCCTACAGTTGGCTCCGGGCATTCAAAATGTGGCCCGGAGTTCTGGGAACTCGAAGAGCACGAAAAATGGCTCCGGGCCCGGGAATGGAGTTCTGGGACTCGAAGACCACGAAGTGGCCTACAGTTGGCTCCGGGCATTCAAAATGTGGCCCGGGAATGGAGTTCTGGGAAGTCGAAGAGCACGAAGTGGCCTACAGTTGGCTCCGGGCATTCAGAATGTGGCCCGGGAATGGAGTTCTGGGAGGTCGAAGAGCACGAAGTGTGTGACTGTTGGCTTAAAACGACTTCTGCGGCACCCTGTCCGGCACCCGCCCAGACCCCCCTGTGGAGTCATCTGCTGCTCTCTTTTTAGCCCATTAGAAACCTATCAGTCTTCGCTGTTAGGTAAAAATTATCCCGGCAAAGCAACCTAACAGCGATGTGTAGAAGCATATCTGAAAGCATTCCCCTTAAGATTCAGATGAAATCCAGTTGTAGAATTCTGCTGTTCTCGCAGTCGTAGTCGCATTCGCGATGACAGTCGCAGCGGCAACGGCAGTCGCAGTCACAGCCTCAGCCTCAGCCTGCCTCAGCCTCAGCCTCAGCCTGCCTCAGCCTCAGCCTGCCTCAGCCTCAGCCTCAGCCTGCTTCAGCCTCAGCCTCAGTCTGCCTTCAGCCTCGGCCTCAGCCTCAGCCTGCCTCAGCCTCAGCCTGCATCAGCCTCAGCCTCAGCCTCAGCCTGCCTCAGCATCAGCCTGCCTCAGCCTCAGCCTCAGCCTGCCTCAGCCTCGGCCTCAGTCTGCTTCAGCCTCAGCCTCAGTCTGCCTTCAGCCTCGGCCTCAGCCTCAGCCTGCCTCAGCCCCAGCCTGCCTCGACCGCAGCATCAGCCTGCCTCAGCATTCAAAATGTGGCCCAGGAAAGGGAGTTCTGGGAAGTCGAAGAGCACGAAGTTGCCTACAGTTGGCTACGGGCATTCAAAATGTGGCCCGGGAATGGAGTTCTGGGAACTCGAAGAGCACGAAGTGGCCTAGAGTTGGCTCCGGGCATTCAAAATGTGGCCCGGGAATGGAGTTCTGGGAACTCGAAGAGCACGAAGTGGCCTACAGTTGGCTCCGGGCATTCAAAATGTGGCCCGGGAATGGAGTTCTGGGGACTCGAAGAGCACGAAGTGGCCTACAGTTGGCTCCGGGCATTCAAAATGTGGCCCGGGAATGGAGTTCTGGGAAGTCGAAGAGCACGAAGTGGCCTACAGTTGGCTCCGGGCATTCAGAATGTGGCCCGGGAATGGAGTTCTGGGAGGTCGAAGAGCACGAAGTGTGTGACTGTTGGCTTAAAACGACTTCTGCGGCACCCTGTCCGGCACCCGCCCAGACCCCCCTGTGGAGTCATCTGCTGCTCTCTTTTTAGCCCATTAAAAACCTATCAGTCTTCGCTGTTAGGTAATCAGCTCACGTAGCTGATTTTCCCGGCGCCTCCCGGCGCCGGAAGCGGCCATGTATCGAGGAATGGGCCCCTCGGTGAGGCCGAAACCAGCTGCATGCAGCAAATTTCGTAACCCCCCCTTTCGCAATCCCCCCCTTTCGCCCGGCCCGAGAGAAACCCAGCCCTGAGACCCCAGGGCGTCCCTCGATGTTGGGTGTGGGAACGTCACGCTGTCCACAGCAAGAAGCCCACAGGCACCCTGGAGGCAAGCAGGGTGTTTCTGGGCAGGGGTCGCCACTGCAGCCAAGGGTTCTCCGCTGGAGGGGGGGGGGGAGGAGCAGACCCGTCGAGTCCCGAAAAAAGTGCGGCGAGGATTGTTGTCCCCATCTTCGGCCTCTGGGAAGCCACCGCTGGGCCCCCGGACCGGCAGAAAACGAGTCAGGATGAGAAACAGGTCCTGGGAGATGTGCCGAGACCTCCGGGGGTCGACGTTGGGAAAAACTCGTGACGTTGGGGGTCTGGGTCCGCTGGGGGGGGAGCCGGCCGAGGACCCAGTCGTTTCTTTCTGGGCAGCCCCACGTGTGCCCGCGGCCACCAGGACTGCCATGCAGTCGGGGCTGCTTGGAGAGGACACGCGAGGGGACACAAGACCCTTCCGAGGGCCACACTGCAAGAGGAGTGCAGAAGGCAGGGTCGCGAACACACGGGACACGACACGCAGAGGACACGAAGGCGCTCTTGATTCGGAAAGGTCGACCTGTGAATCGGCCTCGACTGTGCCCCATTTCGGGCCTGCGCAGGCCGCAGGGTCCGGTTGTCCTGGGGAGGGGGAAGCGAGGGGGGGGGCAGGTCGGCCCGCTGACACAGGCCATCGCCGCGTCGTTCAAAAATCAGGACGGGACTTGTTTGGCAACTTTCGGCCTCCAGGGGCCCTCGCCGAGCCTCGGGACCGTCAAAAAACAGCTCGGGATAAAAAAAACGACCCCCGGGAGAGGGTCTGGACTTCCGGGCACGCCGTCCTGAGTAAATCAGGACGTCGCATGTCTGGGAGGGCGGCAGAGTCCCAAGGGCCCCCCTTCCAATCACTCCGTGAAGAGGTCGGGGCGGAGATTTTCCGCTGTTTTGGGGCTTGTGGGAGCCCTCTCCAGGTTTTGGCTTACAGTGGAGGCCAGTCCACAAGAAACCTTCCACAAAAACCGAACCCTGATACACCAGGACGTATATGGATTTTTGGTGTGGGAACGGCACGCTCTTTCCATCGCAAAAAACATCGAAACCCAAGAAACCCATGGCACCCTGGAGGCAAGCAGGGTGTTTCTTGACATGGGTTTCCCCTGTATGGGAGCCCTCTCCGGGCCCTGGGGCCGTCAAACAATGACTCGGAATGAACAAAGGGAGCCCTGGGCAGGGGGTCCACACCTCTGGGGGCCCACGTTATGAAAAACATGATGTCGGGGGTATGGGCGAGGAGGACGAAGGAGGGTCAGGAGGTCATCGGGGATCGAGGGGGAGATCGGGGATCGAGGAGGAGATCGGGGATCGACGAGGATCGAGGAGGGGACCGGGGATCGGAGAAGGGGATCTGAGATCGAGCAGAGGGACCGGGGATCGAGAATCCGCCAGCCCTCTTGTGGGGCCACCAGGCTGTAGGACGAAGTGTGCTGCTCCCTCCACCAGTTGCAGTTCAAGTCTCTCTCCATTGTTACAATCCTGCTTTTCGCTTCCTACTGTAAACTGTTTAAGTCCGCGCGAGGGGGGAGCCCCCAAGGGCCCAATTCATCACGCCCAGATCGCGTGCTCTGGTTTCCGGGGGGGGGCGTGGGACACTTAAACATACTTGAGATTCGCGCCCCCGAAGCCATACTCTCTCCTAAATTACGCAATGTTCGCGTCCCCGAGGCCACGAATTTTCGTAAAGTGCACACATGTTGCGCCCCCAGTAACCAATCATGTAAATTACACAACAGTCGCGTCCCCGAAGCCACAACACCTTGCAGACTACACCAGGTTCGCATTGCAGAGTGCTACAAGGCGCCCGAAGATGGTTCCAAGACGGCCCAAGAAGGCCCGAAGAGGCCCCAAGAGTGCTCCAAGAGGCCTCCCGAGAGAGACCCACGAGGCTAAAAGCATAGATGTTACGAAAGTTGTTGAAGGATGTTGGCCTTCTCGCATGTTCAGCTTTCCGACGCTCCGAGACGGCTCAAGAAGCTCCCAAGACCGCCCCAAGACAGCCTGAGACGCCCCCAACAGGGCCC